GAAGCAAGAGAATCACTTAAGCCCAAGACTTTGGGGGGGGGGGGAACATGGGGCAGTACCTATGGCTCAAGGAGTAGAGCACTGGCCCCATATACCAGAGGTGGCAGGTTCAAACCCAGCCCTGGCCAAAAACTGCCAAAAAAAAAATAATAATAATAAAAAGAAAACACTTAAGATCAAAGAGGGCCATATACTAGAAGGCTGAGGTGGGTGGACACCAGCCTAAGCAAGAGCAAGATCCTGACTCTGTCTCATAAAAAAGAGAGCCATATAATACAAACTCAATTTTACTTTATTTTTTTATTTTTATTTTTTAGATAAGAGCCTCAAGCTGTCCCCTGGGTAGAGTGCCATGGCATCTCAGCTCACAACAACCTGCCACTCCTGGGCTCAAGCGAGTCTCCTGCCTATGCCTCCCAAGTAGCTGGGACCACAATGCCCGGCTATTTTTTGGTTGCAGCCGTCATTGTTGTTTGGCGGGCCTCGAACCTGCCACCTTGGGTGTAACATGGCTGGCGCCTTAGCCACTTGAGCCACAGGCGCTGAGCCAATTTTACTTTATTTTTAAAGGAAAATGAATATATAACTAATTTGTTCCAGTCTGAACTAATTTAATTCAGTATATAATAGCACCAGTTGTATCAACAAAACTCAAATCAAACTAAAGTGCTGTCATAAGCTATTCTCATGTCCAGTTTAGAAAACAAAGTATAAAGCAAAAAAGGGAATAGAGGCTCAGCACCTGTAGCTGAAGCAGCTAAGGTATCAGCCACATACACCAGAGCTGGTGGGTTCAAATCCAGCCCAGGCCTGCCCAACAACAATGACAACTGCAAGCAAAAAATAGTTGGGTGTTATGTTGGATGCCTGTAGTCCCAGCTACTTGGGAGGCTGAGGCAAGAGAATCGCTTAAACCCAGGAGTTTGAGGTTGCTGTGAGCTGTGATTCCACAGCACTCTACTCAGGGCGACAGCTTGAGGCTCTGTCTCAAAAAAAAAAAAAAAAAAAAGGAATAGAAACATCAGAAAGAGTGTAAAATAAGTGCTACACAAATAGCTGAATACATTTTACATTTTTTTTTAATTGAGACAGAGTTTCACTTAGTCACCCCTGGTAGAGTGCAATGGCATCATAGCTAACAGCAACCTCAGACTCTTGGACTCAAGTGATTGTCTTGCCTTAGTCCCCCAAGTAGCTGGGACTACACAAGCATCAGCCACACACCCTGCTATTCTTTCTTTTTTTAGAGACAGGGTCTTGCTCTAGCTCTAGCTGGTTGCGAAGTCATAAGCGCAGGAGATCTGCCCCCCTCAGCCTCCCAGAGTGCTTGGGGTTACCAGCTTAAACCACTGTGCCCAGCCCATGTGAAACATTTTTAAGAGGATTTAAAGGCCAGGCACAGTGGTTCACACCTGTAATCCCAGCACTCTGGGATGCCGAGGTGAGTGGACTGTTTGAACTCAAGAGGTTAAGACCAGCCTGAGCCAGAAAGAGACCTCATCTCTAAAAATTGTGGCCGGCACCTGTAGTCCCTGCTACTTGGGAGCCTGAGGCAAAAGAATTCCTTGATCCAAGAGTCTGAGGTTGCTGAGAGGTGTGACACCAGGGCATTCTACCAAGGGCAATAAAATGAGACCCTGTCTCAAAAAAAAAAAAAAAAAAAACCAGCAGTGCCTG